AAAGCGACGACTTAGTGTCCGAAGTGTTGGTTTTATTTCATTCATCGGTAACAGCCTTACGAAGGTCAAGGAGAACGGAATAAATTCGGTATATTCGTCACTGGCAACTCTCTCTCAGTCGGTCTGGAACCCGCTCAAGATGCTGTCAGAAGGCGGCGAAAGTCAACCCACAGTGGATTTTCACTGACACGGTGTGGCTTCCCAGTCTCACCAGCTTCGTATACATTGCCATAGACGTGTTCTATAATATTACGACAGAGGATAGAAGAGGAAGAACAAGTATGACGATGACTGTAGACGAGTGAAAAGCGACGTCGTAGTTTGAATGAACATCGTCGAGGGACCAACTAAAAGCCATGATTTTTTCCCACAAACATCAGAGGTTGAAACCGCTACGGAGATGTCAGGTTTTCTTCCCATTTTTGCTCCCCTTCACCTCCCACTCACCCTCAAGACTCCCATCCTCGGGTTAAGTATAAACTAATATATTAAGGAAACAGTAGCACTGACCAACAGGGTAAAGAGGATGAGAGAGGTGATGCTGCTTCGTCTGGTGTGGCCGACTCACCATACACGGTAACATGATTTATTGTGTGGTATGTCAAGTATTTCTCAGCAGGGAGCCGTCATGAGGAAAGGGAGGGGCGGGGAGAGAGAATAGGAGGCTAGGAGGGAGGGAGGGAGGGGGAGGGGGGAGGGTAGAAGGGAGGGGCGGAGGGAGGGAGGGAGTGGTTGGTTGAAGAGAGCAATTCTCCCTCTTCCCTCCCTCCTTCCCTTCCGACTCAACATGTTACACCACCATAAGGGTTCCCTAGGTTACACCCCCTCTCCCTCCCCTTCCCTCATAACCCTCTCCCTCCCCTTATCCTACCAGGGGAAGAGGATATGAGGTCTTCCCTCTCTTTCCATCCCATCCATTACCCCTATCCCCTCCCCTAAAACTCAATTAATGGGAAGGGGTGATAGGCTACTCACCCCTACCCCTTCCTCTCCTTCCCACACACTAGCCCCCCCATCACCACCCAGCCACCTCCCCACCCAGCCCCCAGCCCTCCCGCCCAGCCTCCTCCCCGCCCAGCCCCCGCTTCCCCCGCCTTCTTACGCCCCACCCCAGCCTCCTCCCCCTTGGCCTCCCCAGCCCACCCCACCGCCTAGCCTCCCCCTACCACAGTCCACGGGATCTCACGCTATGTGCTGGTGCTGGACAGGTCAGGGGTTCTTCAGCCCCTGCCTTGAGTCTAAAATGAGTCGCGATGGGGTGGTTCTTGTAGATCAGCCTAGCGTGGAGGGGGTGTGTGCGTGTGCTCCCGTACATGTGTATCTGCAGGTATGTGAGAGTTTTCTACACCTGTCTGTCTGTCTGTCTCTATCATGGCTAACAAATGTTTTCTGTCTATAATAATAATAATAATAATAATAATAGTAATAATAATAATAGTTAAAGATCTGCCAAGAATATCAGCTAGGTTAAGTTAAATTAATTAGGTCAATTTAGGTTAAAATAACTAAGGTGGTTAATTTCACGGTGAAATAAGCTGGGGGCCTAATCTTCATGAGATCTCATCAATATAACACGTACCAACACCACCCATAAAGTTTTAGTTTTTAGTTCAACAAATTTATTGGCAAAGCTTGTTGTACAGTTTGCCTATTGTGAGTAATTCAGTCAGGTCTTGAGACTGGTAGACGTTCACTGTGTCTCTTCACCACCACCACCACCAGTATCATAGGAATATCTAGAAGATTATAGTTTTGGTTCATACTAGGCAGCTACCTTTACACCCAACCCACATCGCGTATAGTAATTTGTCCCACAAGAGTAAACACGGTTAGATAGTTTTAGTACTTTTGTTATATCTATCATCTATTACTTACATTTATACACCGTGGTTATATCGCCCCTCACTCTACTTCTCTCAAGGGAGTGCAAATTCAGATGCTTTAATCTGTCTCTATAATCAAGATTCATAATGCCCGGGATTAGCATAGTTTAAAGATATTTATACTAATGAAATCTTTCCTCAAATATTACCATAAACTTCACTATATTATCCTGAAATTGATAGAAAACGTGAACCAGGACCATTTCTTTGTGATGTTACGCACCACCAACACGAGAGGGCATACTGACTACAAGCTCGCCAAGTTATACAGAACGCGCACCAGGAAATACTTCGTCACACAGAGGCTGGCTGACCTATGGAACGGTCTCCCAGGCCAAGCTGTGGAATCATGAATAGTACTTGGCTTCAAAATAATCCTACACAAGACTATTCAGAACAATGGACGGATCCTATACAGATTACTGGCGAATAAGGTAGGTAAATAAAGTAAAAACATGGTAAAGAAATTTATTCAAGTTATCCATTAAATCCTCATTTTCTCTAAATTGCTAACACACAAAAGGGATCTATTTTCTGTAATGCAATTTTCGATGGGTAACTTAACTAAACATAACTATGAACGTAAATGGTCGAAGATTTCAATTTCTGCATTGTTAAACTATACTAAAAGGAATACCAGTCATTTAAGTGATATTTATCAGCACAAAATGAGATAAATTATGATAAAATAAAGAGAAATACAATAAATTTATGAGAATACTTTTTGCAACACACATAAAATAATAAAAATAGTAACAATAATAATGATAACTACATATATTCGGCCACATAATCAAACGTTAGATAAATAATTTAAATCAAGCTTCCTTATACACCCGGAGTATATAATGTTACGTATACTCTGACCTCTACACCTAAACACTCATGTTCTCTTGTTTTTGTCTGCTTCGAGATAATAGAAGATAAGGAGAGACAAGGAGAGATAAGGAGAGACAAGGAGAGATAAAGAGATAAGATTGATGAGACACAGAGCTGTAAACAAACCTTGACATATGGGGCCACTAACTCTACTACACTATCATCTACACCACATACACTGAATCCATCCATTAAAGCCAATTATTGAAGTCAACTACCGAAGCCAACCACTGAAGTCAATTACTGAAACCAACCACAGAAGTCCACCACTGAAACTAATCATTGAAGTTAACTGAAGCCAGGAACTGAAGCCAACAATTGAAGCCAATCACTGAAGTCGACCACTGAAGCTAACAATTATAGTTAACTGAAGCCAGCATCTGAAGTCAACCACTGAAGTTAACCATTGAAGCCAACCATTGAAGCCAAGTTCATAGCATTCCACCTGTAGTATGTAGCCGAGCATATCGAAAGGAAACAACAACATCAACAACAACAACAACAACACTCTGCTCTTTATATGTAAAAATGGATGCTAGTGTGCGCGTGTGTGTGTGTGTGTCAACATATAGCCTTGCTTCGAGTAGGTACCTGATAAGACGACTGGGCAAACAATGGACAGATTTAGAAATAAACCCCCGGAAATAGCCCGAGATAGATAGATAGACATTATTAAGTAAAACAATCTTACAAGTTAACGATAATATTTTGGGCATAATTATCAACAGTCAGTTCATTTATAAATTTATTATAATAATACTTAAACTTCTTAAATCTAAAACTGCTTTGATATAAGTCTTAATAACTTGTGTAGAGATGATAGAGAAGTGAGCATAAATTAACATAGTTAGTGTCCTTATTGGAATGTTTTCTATAATGAATCATCATAGTAAGTGAAAAGTGGCAGACAATTTCCCTAGACATATATCGTAATGTATAACGATGTAACCTCCTAATAACGGGCTCCTCTCTCCATGTAATCAGTTAAATAGGTGTTTTATATCTCACGGACTCTTGATATAACGGACTTTCCTCTCCATATAGCCCGTTAAATAGAGGTTCCACTGAATATTATAAAGAGAACACAAACACGATGAACAAATACTGTGACTAATCGCTCCCTCGCCATGTGACGTCACGCAGCGCGATAGGCAAATGTAGCTGAATATATGTACGTATTTTCTTCTTCTCATTAAGATATTTATACTACCAGAGTGTTTCACATGTTAATTTTTACTTCCCCAAGTGCGGAAATTATTAGAGATCAACACATAGAGGTTATTATTTATTAAAACATCAGAATATATAAACGATAGAGCAAATACTAAAGAACGATAGTGACTTTTCCCGTGTCCGTTCGCCAACCAAACAGCTGCCTTGATACAAACTGATCCAAGTACAGAAACACACTAACACACACACACACTACAGGTCGTGTCCCGAGGGAGCTGTGTTATCGACCTGCCATCACTATAACTCTATCGCCAATATCGACCATCCTGAGTGACCGATCAATTTCCAGTAACACGGAACCAAAACAATTAAATAAGCCTCACTACATACCTGGTCACACAACTTATCATAATATTACGTAAATGTGAAAAACTGAACGATATATGTAAATTGAAATGAAGAGTATTACAGTCTAAAAGTGAACGTAGGTGAAATAACGCTCCCTTGAAGTTTAAGCACCGGAGGGAGAGAATAAGTGGCACTCGATGCAATTTTCAAAGAGTTACAGTACCACTTGTTGCTCCGAGGCGCTTATCGATCGTCATTTGTCGCCACAGGTTGCCAAGTGAGTCCACAATGCCGATAATTTCTGATCTAGAATTTGTTTTATATGTTATTCTGACGAGCGGAGTAATGGTAATCGATGGTTTATGAGATATACACCATGATATGTACACACAAGTTTACAGGGGATTTGTAGTTCTTTTGGCGAGGTTTATGTAGTGATGGGACGACATCTGTTGGCGGGGCGAGGAACTATGGTTGACATTCCCGCTACGGCTCGACCCTCCCCTCAGAGTACCTCTGCTAAGTGGATGATGGTCGGCCACTCACCCACTAGTGTTCCGGCACAAACTCATATACACTTAGTAATTTTGGATCTATATCGTCTCAGAAAAATGCGGTGATAGCTGTTTATTGTAGTGAAGTTGAATTTTGTTCGAATTTCATAGTGAATGGAGACAGGAGTGGAATATATTTTAGTATTTAGTGTTGACAAGAAGAATGATCGACGATTTTTTTGATGACGACTACGGCACTGACGACAAGACCCCAGCAGAGTTCAAGTCTTTCCTGGAAAAGGGAAACTACTCGAAAAAGTCAACCTCGAAGGAATATTCTGATATTGTGAACCAAACGAAGAAACTTGCGCTAAAAGACGACAATAAAGACCCACAACCTGAGAAGCAAGAAGCAGAATACTCAGAATCCTATGAAGATGAAGAGAAGACAAGTGATTCCAAACGTGACGAAACATCCCCAGAATCTTCTTCAAGTAACCGAAGACAATGTTCGGACAATGAAGGGACAAAAAGTGACTCCGAAAAGGAATCATCAACATCCAAATCTAAAACATCTTGTAATTATTCGAGTGAGCAGAATAGTAATGTTACCCCTAGAACTGAATCACCGGTATCAAAGAAAACAAAATCACAAACTATGGATGACTACTCCAAATCAGATACGCGTAAAGATTTGGATAAACCTGAAGAAAAATGGACAAATTCTCGAAAAGGCGACGAAGATGCAACTTCCAGCAATTCTAAGGAACAGAGTGAAAAGGACATTCAAGCTCATTATATCCAAAAATACGCAAAAATAAAAGAAATTAGAGAACAAAAGATAGCGAAGTGGTTGCAGCAAAAGAAACTTGAGGCAAGAAACCAACGAAGGGAAAAGGAAAGGGAAGAGAGAGAAAGAGCACAGCTAAAAGAAGAGGAGGAGAGAAAGGCAAAAAAAGAGGAAGAGAAGAAGAAGAAGAAGGTGAAAGAAAAAACGGAAGAGTGGCTGGAAAGAAAGAATGAAGAGCGGGAGAGAGAGAGGAAGAGGTAAATTGATTAGTAATAAGATTGGCAGTAAGAGAGAGAGAGAGAGAGAGAGAGAGAGAGAGATGAATAATACTGACAAACCCATTCAGCCAAACCGCCATAAAAGCTCACATTAGTTCATTAAGTCCATAAGGGTGTACAAAGTTATAATAGCAAACAGTACATTGACTCAGCCGAGGAATTTTATGATATATTTTGTGGTCGAGTGTAAGAAGACCTTGTTATTAGTGTTGTAGTTGTTGGTAGCTCAGGTTGTTGTAGTTGTTGGTAGCTCAGGTTGTGGATGTAGTTAGCTCAGGTCTTCCCTCTCCCCAATTATCATTCCTGTGCTTCCTCTCTATTTATTACTTATCTCTCCCCCTCTCTATTTACCCTACAGACACCACATGGCAGCAGCAGAGGCAAAGAAATCTCGACAGACAAGGGCAGCAGAGAGCAGACGAGCCTACGCAGACTGGCATGCTTCTCACCCACACCACACCCGTGACCTGACCTCTCGCGCCCGTACAGGAGACAGAGTGGTGACTTATTATGACCAGGCTCGACCCCTCCCACCCTCCCATGTTAACCCTGAACCCTGGAAACCCCCTTGACGCACACACACACTACTACTACTACTACTACTACTACTACTACACACACACACTACTACTACTACTACTACTACACACACACACACACACCACATCCTTGACCACCGAAGGGTCAAGACGTACCTGGCGCTCCTCTCGGAGCAGCCAGGTCAACTGTTAAGTTGGCCCATACCAACCCCCTCCCCTGAACCCCTCCTCCCCACCGGAATATCAACAAGTTCTCGCCAGAAGTTACAATTTCATTTAGGAAAGGAATGGAACCAGTGTTAAACAGAGGTGAACAGTGGTGAACAGTGCTTAAGTCAGTGAGAACAACTCAACAGTAACAGTCGTACCCAAGTTAACCTTCACACAGTGAGGTCCCAGGTACCCAGTGATAACGGCCCGTGAGACCCAACAACAACAACCAGCGATGTGTTAATCCGTCTACGATAGGAAGGCCTGGGACCAAACCTCACTCATATAACACCATCTGTGAGGGAATTACTACACCACGGCCCCTCATAACACCATCTGTGAATTACTACACCACGTGAGGCCCCTCATAACACCATCTGTGAGGGAATTACTACACCACGTGAGGTCCCTCATAACACCATCTGTGAGGGAATTAGTACACCACGTCAAGTCCCTCATCACACCATCTGTGAGGGAATTACTACACCGCGTGAGGTCCCTCATAACACCATCTGTGAGGTAATTACTACACCACGTGAGGTCCCTCATAACACCATCTGTGAGGTAATTACTACACCACGTGAGGTCCCTCATAACACCATCTGTGAGGTAATTACTACACCACGTGAGGTCCCTTATAACACCATCTGTGAGGGAATTACTACACCACGTGAGGTCCCTCATAACATCATCTGTGAGGGAATTACTACACCACGTGAGTTCCTCCTAACACCATCTGGGAGGGAGTAACACACACACACTACTGTTACTACTACTACTACTACTACTACACACACACACACACACACACAGCATCATGTTGGGTAGATTATACAGTATTATAACTTTTTTGTGTTCTTGCTTCACCTCTTAGCAACAACAATAAACAACAACAAAAATAATAACAAAATGATTCAAGTGCTTGTTTTATTGTTCCACTATGTATGTATGTATGTATGTATGTATGTATGTATGTATGTATGTATGTATGTATGTATTGTCAGTTATGAACTTGTATGAGGAATTTACTTATTATCAAAACACAGTGGACAATGTCGTAGTTTGGGCAAATGTGTTAAAGTGGGTTTATTTCTAAGTTCAATCTAACCTAACCTTAGGTAATGAGAAACACATGCAGCTGAAGCGTTGTTAGAAGCCTGCATCAACTTAACCTATTGACCTCACACAACCCACCGGCATATTAAACAGAAAGAACTTACTTTGATATGGTGAGAAAACAAAATATTTTGTGGTGGTGAGAGAAGTCGTTTGGACCAAGCGGCTCGTAAACAAACATTCAGTGGACAAACTCAGGCTGGGTCGGGCTGGGTCGGGCCGCACTACCGTTTTATAGCCGCGAAGAACGAAGTTGTGCAGCTAGTGCGGGCTACCAAATGGATATCATACCCGAACTCAGCGATTAATAAATTACGCGGCTGCGGTTATGTCGTCAATATTAACCTAATAATTTGTGAAACATCTAAACTTGAAGAATATAAAGATGCACATAATGATAAGTCTATTTGGGTTTGTAAAGAATCATCGACAACATTCAGTGGAGAGGTTTATAAATAGTTGCCCCTGTATAAATCTTTTTCTGTAATTATTATTAACAAAAAATTGTATTTTTATGGTAAACTAAAGAATAAACAGCAACCCTACATGACTGCGAACTACAACGAAATATTTTGACTGCTGTGCAATTCCGGCATTGGAACATTGAGATTAATACAGAAACAATGACAAATTAAGTCAAGTTGACGAAAAATAACCCAAGAGAGACATAAATTTAATGTCCAAATTACCTACTCTCCTAAACTATGACATATCAGCAAAAATATAAATACTTTCTTACCTTTCGAAAACTTAAATAAAAGTTCACTAGGAATAAGTTTTGAGTAAAATCACTTTGTTTGTTTTTTCGCCCAGATTCTACCTAGATGACGTAGAGGCAAATCCGCCATGTTTGTTTTCGTGAGAGGAAGCTGATCACAGGATGTTTTTAAAGTTTTGAAATGAAGATTGCTATAATATTTTTTGGCTAGGCTAAGTTGGGTTAAGTTAAGTAAAATATTAGGCATATTTTCGGATTATACGTGGAATTCCGCTATAAGTAGGCCCGACCAGTTTTTGTCTCCTATACAAGTCCGATCGACGGATTTTCTTTCACGTAAGTTCAAATCAAATCTGCCTTCACGCCATGAATGTACCGCATCTCTCAAGTCAAAACCGATACTACATACAAGTCCAACTTACGTCCATTCTGAGGCGTTGGGTGTTATCTCCGTCGACAATCACAAGACCGAAACAAGTCCAACCTGAAGCCTAGGGCGTCATAACCATCCTCCCGCCTCACAAGTCCAAATAAAACTGAGTGTGACGGTGACGGGCAGTTGTTGACACTAGCCTGTCCCTGGACCAATCATAGGTGACCGTCTAGCACTAACTACCCAACGAGGCTGTTTGACCATACTACCTCGTTTAGTTAAGATGATACGAGAGGAACACCCAGGTGACATCTTTAAGTTCGTAGGTTTATTGTTTTACTCTTTAAAGCTTCACCTAACCTAACCTAACCTAACCAGTGTTAATGTGACGTCAGGTCTACATGACTGACACGCTGGGCTGACAGGTAAACTATCAATAGGTAAAAGGTTGAAAACAAACACAAGACAAACAATAAACAGACAATTAGATAAATCACAAAATAAGTAAGAAGGTATGGCTTGAGAATTTCTTTATTTTGTGTACAGTTAGGGAAGGGGGGCAGACAGGTCAACTGCTGTGGTCTGGGTCATCCTAGGTCAACCAGGGTATGGTAGTAACTTCAGCTGTCCAGGGTCAAGACAAGGTTAGCGTATCGTACGAGTGAGTGAGGTGAGACATCATCGGACTCGCATCATGAAGGGTTTACTCCAGAGGCTCCGGGATCCTGCCAAACTCCTCGTTCACGACGTCGTACAGCGTCGGTGCCTGGTCGCAGGGGAAAGCGTCTTCTCTGAATTTACAGGTGGCGGTATCCTGGCTGAGGATGGTCTGGTTGCCACAGGTGAAGGTGTACTGCAGTGTGATAACCACCGTCCCACTGGCATCGGCGACGGGGAGACACACGTGGAAAATTTCACAGTTGTTGTCGACGTCGGCGTAGTAACCGTAGGAGCGGCCCTCACAGGTGAAGGAGGTGTCGAGGGGCGAGCTGAGCGACAACTCATAGTCGATGGGCAACTCCCAGGCGAACTTGGCGAGAGTCAATGTTGCCAAGGCCATGACGAGGATGACTGTTGCGGCGCGGTACATGATGGAGAAGGAGGACCTGGTGGAAGCGCTGCAGGATACCAGGAAGGATTCTGTAGAAGGATTTGGTATTATTAATATCTAAGTAATATATATTTTAAACCACTACACCCTCCCTCTCCTACACCACCCCACAAGTACCTCTATCATCCATGAGGTCAGATGTGTACAAAGTGTTAAGGAAATTATGTGTCCAGATAATAAGCTAAGCCCTGGATGTTTGGGTTAACGTGTGGTGACTATACTAACATATACTAATTAACACCTGAAGAATGATGTTATTTGTGTGTTGTTATTTCATACCTGGATTATTATTATTATTCCTTTTCTTCATATTATTAGTACATTATCAGACATTAGAATATTGTCATTATACCGTCCTAAGTAAGACAGGAGCCACAACCAAAAAAAAAAACAATAATAATAATAAGTAAGAACAAGAAGAACCAATAATTTTTCACAAGAACAAAAAATAACGAAAAATAACAAGAGAAGCAACAAGAACTATAAACAAAGATAACAATAAATATTAACAACAACAATAACAACAGCTACAATAACAACTACAGAAGCAACAAATACAAAAACAACAACAAGAAATACAACAATAACACCACCACCACAGACAACAAAAACAACTACAACAATAACAACAATAACAAAAACAAACAACTCAAGGGTTGAATTTTGTTTGTAAATATAAACAGAGGTTAAAAAGTACTCGTAGTTTTCCCTGTGTTTACATAATGTCCAGGTGACGTCACTTCCTAACATTAAATCTATGAACTTGATATGGCAATACTCTTGTTTACCTCTTGAGTTGCCAATACGATTTTTTACTTCTAAGATTAACCAATGAGAATGTGAGTTAGGTGATCAGCTGTTGTTTGCTATTTAAATCAACATAAGATACTTTTTTGTGATTGGTTTGCCTTATTGTTTGTTAATGTGTGTTTGTATTTTGAACATACGATTTACTGGAGTATCACCTGTTTGCTATTAAGGTTCAAGGCTCAGATATGTTCACTACTCACCTATAACAACAGGACTTTAACCGACGTAAACACTAAAGTTACCATGTATTAAATTTTTTTTTATTATTGGCGGGAAATAAAATCATCGATAATTAAAGAAGAATTATACTTAGAAATTAGTTAATATCACTACGAAAAAGTTAAAGTCTTGTCTCCCTAAAGAAAATCACTCACGCACGATAAAATTCCACCAGACAAGTCAATAAAGGCAGAAATAAGATAAAACTGAATAAATTTGTTCAAAACTTCAACAAAAATCACTATCGTTCATTGGTTAGTTTAGGTTACGTTAGGTTACGTTAGGTTACGTTAGGTTCACGTCGACTTCACATAACACTTTGGGGCTTCAGAAACAGACGCAGGTAATATGTATTCTATTTCCACATTTATCACTAATTTCAAGCTTCTTCTTCTTCTTCTTCTTCTTCTTCTTCTTCTTCTTCTTCTTCTTCTTCTTCTTCTTCTTCTTCTTCGTCTTCTTTGCACGTCCACTAGAACAGGTGATGGGAACAGATGAAATAGGTGGGACAGGTGAAGGGGAAATGGAACAGGCGAAGAATAGGTGGGACAGCACAGGGAAATGGGGAAGGAAATGGGAGGAAGAAATAGAAGGGACGGGAGGAAGGGATTGGGAGGGAAGGAAGGGACGAGGAGGAACCAGAGGGGGAACGAGAGGAGAAGAAAGGTGGAAAAGATGGAAGAGGACGGAATAAATAAAGAAAAGCAAAAGGAATGGACGTGTGAGACGGGAGGACATGAGAGAATCAGAAGGGAATAGACTGGAGGAAACGGGAGGGAGAAACGGGGAGAATAGACGGAGCACATACAGTATAAGTATTCACCTTACGAAGGGAGAGCACAGAGTAGCAACAAACGGGGGGTGTTCCTGGACTTAAATACCTCCCTCTTCACCCGTCACACCCCCAATCCCTTCCTCACCTTCCTCCTCCCTTCCCTCACAGTGGTCAATCCTGTCGTGGGTGTCCAAGACGTCATGCAGGATGGGGGGGGGTAAGGGGGGGGTGTTGATCCTGTAAGCCCCCTCCCCCCCCCCCCCCCCTCCCCCTCCCCCTCCCCCTCCCCCCCGTGTCTTAGAGTGGGTAAGGCAGCTGTCGATCCGTTGCTTCAAGGTCCACTGGTGTCGTCTTCTCTTGCCAATCTCCCTGTCTCTCTCTTTCTCTCGTTTGGTCATCAGTAATATTAACACCAGTAACGGTAGGAACAAATAATAACAAGAATAGCAACAACAACAAAAGCCATTAACAAAAGCCACAGCAACAAAAGCCACTAACAGCAGCAGGGTTAGCAACAGCGACACAAATCACCCACAGGACCTTTGACTGCCGCACGTAAGATACCCAAAACAAGACGCTGTATATATCCATCTATTTTATTCTACTAACTCTGTATATTTAACTCAATGTCCTAAATAACTCCAAAGTTTCATCAGGTTTTATGTTGTTTAATATTTATCTAACTGTAAGTCTTCATACTGGAGAATTTTTTTATTCAATATATATAATAAAACACGGAATCATCTTTGCTTTTCTCCTGTTAGCGAGGATGTGAAGGCCAGCC